AGGGCATAACGAGTGGGGTCCCCCAGCGATCAATTCTGGGTCTGGTTCTGTTCAATATCTTCAACAATGATTTAGAGCAGGGGTTCTCAACCTTTTTCTTTCTGAGGCCCCCCCAACATCCTATAAAAACTCCACGGCCCACCTGTGCCACAATAACTGGTTTTCTGTGTATAAAAGCCAGGGCTGGCATTAGGGGGTGGTAAATAGGGCAATTGCCTAGGGCTCCATGTCACAGGGTCCCCCATGAAGCTACATTGCTCAGGCTTTGGCTTCAGCCCCGGGTGGTGGGGCTCAGGGCCTTGGGCTTCAGCCCCATGCAGTGGGGCTTCGGCTTTCTACCCGGGGACCCAGGAAATGTAATGCTGGCCCTGCTTGGCAGCCCCCCGAAACCTGCTTGCGGCCTCCCAGGGAGCCCCAGACCCCTGGTTGAGAATCACTGATTTAGATAATGACAGAGAGTACACTTATAAAGTTTGCGGATGATACCAAGATGGGAGGGGGTTGCAAGTGCTTTGAAGGATAGGATTAAAATTCAAAATGATCTGGACAAACTGGAGAAATGGTCTAATGAAATTCAGTAAGGACAAATGCAAAATACACTTTTAGGAAGGAACAATCAGTTTCACACATGCAAAATGGAAAATTGCTGCCTAGGAAGATATATTGCAGAAAGGGATCTGGGAATCCTAGTGGATCACAAGCTAAATATGAATGAACAGTGGAACACCGTTGCAAAAAAAGCAAACATCATTGTTAGTGATGGTAATATAGTATTTAGGCCTGTTTATTAGCCTGAGGTAGAATCTGGGGTTTTGTTTGCCTGTTTGACTTTTGATACTCTTATATCCTTACTAACATGTGTGAACAAAGACACTGTGTTGCATCTGCCCACAGCCACATGGGGTTTATAGCACAATGAGAAAAGATAAGGAAGAGAGTTAAAGTGTTGCTGGGTATGGTGGGAGTTTTTTATTTATTTATTTATGTGATTATAAAAATCACACACACTTGAAGGCTGCCTGACTCCTCTCCCAAGCCAAGGTCAAGCAACCAGTTGGGAGGGGTGAAGAGCATGGGGGTGGAGGGCAGGTATAAGAAACACTAAAAGCCAAAGAAACAGTGACCCTGGCTGAAACACAACCTCACTCCCTACCCCTCCAATGGGGTTTAAAAAAAAAAAAAAAGGTGTTACCAAAGCCCCCAGACTCACGACCCTCCAAAATGGACCATGACCATAAACTGGATGGGGGGCAGCTAGAGGTGTGCACTAAAGCTATAATTAAGCCTGCTAAGAAAGAGGAGAGGGGACAGGGAAATCTCTGCTGGTGTACAGAGCTGTGGGATTATGCTTGCTTGGTAACCTCAATAACATCGCATTGCCTGCACTTTGGACTCCGGCCTTCTGCTTTCTGTCTCCATGACAAGAACCAAGGAAGGGCGAGGGGAAGCCCTAACAATCATTCTGGGATGTATTAGCAGGAGTGTTGTAAGCAAGACACGACAAGTAATTCTTCCACTCTACTCCGTGCTGATTAGGCCTCAACTAGAGTATAGTATCCAGTTCTGAGTGCCACATTTCAAGAAAAATGTGGACAAATTGGAGAAAGTCCAGAGAAGAGCAACAAAAATTATTAAAGGTCTAGAAAACATGACCTATGAGGGAAGATTGAAAAAAATTGGGTTTGTTTAGTCTGGAGAAGAGAAGACTGAGAGGAGACATGATAAATTTTCAAAGTACATAAAAAATTGTTACAAGGAGGAGGGAGAAAAATTGTTCTCCTTAACCTCTGAGGATAGGACAAGCAGCAATGGGCTTAAACTGCAGCAAGGGAGGTTTAGGTTGGACATTAGGAAAAAATTCCTGTCAGGGTGGTTAAGCACTGGAATAAATTGCCTAGGGAGGTTGTGGAATCTTGATCACTGGAGATTTTTAAGAGCAGGTTAGAAAAATACCTGTCAGGGTAGTCTAGATCAGTGGTTCTCAAACTGTGGGTCAGGACCTCATTTTAATGGGATCATCAGGGCTGGTATTAGACTTGCTGGGGCTCGGGGCTGAAGCCAAAGTCCGAGCCCCATTGCCCAGGGCTGAAACCCTCAAGCTTTACCACTCCCTATGGAGGCAGAGGTTGGGCTTTGTCCCCCCTTGCCCTAGGCGATGCGGCTCAGGCTTCAGTCTCTCTTCCCGGGGTCATGTAGTAATATTTGTTGTCAAAAGGGGGGTCGTGGTGCAAGCAAGTTTGAGAAACCTTGGTCTAGATAATACTTTGTCCTGCCATGAGTGCAGGGAACTGGACTAGATGACCTCTCAAGGTCCCTTCCACGCCTACAATTCTACATGTATATTACATATATCAACAAATCGTCAAGTGCAGTGGGATGAAAGATACTGTGAAAATGTTAAGGGAAGAGGGTTTTGGTTTTTTTAAGTTATAACATCTTACTGAAGTTACGTTTTTATAAAAATAAGACTGAATACACTTTCAAACAAAAAATGCACAGAACTGAGTGAACTTCAGTGCTGAAACAGTATTTTATATCAGAGGGGTAGCCGTGTTAGTCTGGATCTGTAAAAAGCAACAAAGAGTCCTGTGGCACCTTAAAGACTAACAGATGTATTGGAGCATAAATTTTCGTGGGTGAATGCCCACTTCGTCAGACGCATTTTAAATTTAATCGTCATCCAAGAGGTTCAGTGTTTTCTCCTAATAGCAAACTTATTGCTATGTATATTTAATTCACCTAATGAGTTTAAATGGATAGATTGTCAAAATCAAAAGGATCGGGTATATATTTTTAAAAATATAACATTTACCATGCTGACATTACCACAGTAAAAAGTATTCCTTCTGTTTGAATACTTATACTGGAAAATCAAGACTGGATTTCATTAGTAAAAAAAATTCTGCATATTCTGTGTTTCATAATAGAAAACTTTTCCAGAAGTCATAACATTATTAACGGACCATTCTGCAATTGAGTCTTATTTCTCAACAGATCAAGAGTGTGTTAGAGACTTCATATAATCCTTACAGAATAATCCACTCTGGTTTTCAACAATGCACATCAATGGTTAATCCAAGAATTTGTTTGAGGGACTGGTAATAGGATAGAATTTTCCACCTCCATGACACTTACCAAGGTCAAAACATCATTGCCAGTTTTTAATGGACTGTTTCTCACATCAACATTGACAGTCTGGTTTACAGTTTAAGCACTGAAGCCAAAGTCTGAATGGGCATGGACACTTGTACTCCGTTGACTACCTTGTACTCCCTAGGTGTTCTCTCGTCTTATTCTTTGATTGTAAACTTTGAGCAGGTAACATCTTTTTTTGTGTTTGTACAGTGCCTTTCACAATGGGTTACTATCAATACACAAATAATACTTGTCCATAGAAGTGGTCATGCCAGAACAGGATTCATTACACTAGCAGGGTTGTATGGAGAAGCCTGCACTAACACTGCCCTTCTTTGGGTAAAGAAAGGTTGTTGGTCCCCAGGGCTGTGAACGTAAGTACTAAATTCACCACCTCACAAAGAATGGAAAGTAATGCAAAAAATAAGTTGTCATCGTGTAACTATGGTGGAATGGTCAGGATAGCTGAACACGCACAGAGATGTGAATGTTAATGTTATTTATAGTCTGTGGCACTAAAGCATTTTTTATTTACAGGTTTTATAAAATAAATGGAAAGCATCTATTAAGTTAGCACCCCTTGAAAGAAACAAAGAAATGTTCTATTTGGAGACTGTTCTGCTAATGCAGCGCACATCAGTTGCTGCAAAATATTTTTCTTCCTTTGTTTATCACTAATTTCATCTGCTTGGAATCAGGACAGTAGAGCCTAACCCTCCCTATTCTTGCAAGAAGTGTCACATAACGAGCAAAAAAGTTAACACTGGCTTAAAAACTAACATAATTTCCTCATTTTCAAAGAACACTAATAAAATTTAAGCGGGGAAATGAAGAATTTAGGAAAAAGTCTCTCTCAGCCACTTTCACACTGCCTACAACACTGTTGTTAAAACACACCACTCTAAGGCTTTCACTTCCATCTTTAACAGATACCAAAGAGTAATATATACCCCACCTCTAAACTTGCACTCTAGCACAAAACGTTAAAGCATCCTTGGTCACTTTTGTATCAACAGATCAGCTCACCTTACATCATATATGCCACATGTTCGGAAGTTGTTCTGCCTTAAGATTGCTGATGTCGCTGTTTACGTTTTGTGCTATAATACAAGTTTGCACAAAATGGACTACTAGCAGAAACAAGTAGTAATAAGATATCAAAGAAAAGTTAGAAATTTTCTCCCTTCACCAAAGCTGGTCAGTGTGGTTTCAAAACGTCACAAAACTTAATACTTCATTCTAAACAAAAAGGGAGAAATTCACTTACACTCAGAGGGCTAACACAAGGCCCTCTATACCACTTTAGCCCTCCAGAAGGATTCAGGCAGATTAGACACATAAAAGGGGCTCCACATCCACTAAATTCCAGAGGTTAGTTTAGCGCTGGTCCTGAATAGGGTTGTGTGGAGGGGGTTGAGCGTATTTAGGATGAGGAGGGCTGCTGAATCTGAGAATTCTGTGGCCCAAAAGCTGCTGTAAAAGGAGGAGTGGGGGTGATGGAGGAAGGGCAGCTGCATGGCCTACCTGTGGGTTTTGGTGTGTGAAATCTAAACCTCTCAACACTGCTTAGTCTTCCACACAAAACCCAATTACAACGGTTTTACGTGGAAAGGAGTGAATTTCACCCTAAAGTAGCATCTGGTCAAGCTGTACTCAAGTGACAATTACACCTATACCAACCTTGATTTTTTGGGCAGGGGGAGGGCGCACATTAGGAAATCTTCACTTCAGTTGTGATAGAAGACAACATATATTTATATAAAAAAAAAGCCAACTTTTGGAAATTAAAGTGTATGTCTATTATTAAGTTACCCCTAAGAACTCCAAAACTTTAACAAAGATCATAGAAGGAAAAAAACAGATACCTTTTAAAGCTGGCAGTTTTTGGAGTTCTCTGTTATTGCTAACATTAAACCTTGAAGAACTCTGCCGTTTTTCCTTCTTCAGTACAGTCTGTGGAGCAGGTACTTTGATTTTAGATAATTGTGCTGGGGGAGGAGCGCTGTTTGTTTTTTTGTTTGACACCTGTTTTAAAAAAAAACACAACATTTAAATGTAGTTGAGCTTGTTAAACAGAACATTCTAAAAACAGAGTTAGGTTACAGGCAAGTTTGATTTTGCTAAAAACAGAACAAAATTCTAATCAACTTATTCTATCTTACCTCTGACTGCATAGCCACCTACTTCCCTGCTCGTTCTTTCCAGTTAGTCTTGACTTTGTCACAATTCTCCACAGATGTGGAATATCATTCTGTCACTTGTGTTGCCTAACCTATTTGGAACTGTCTACTCCCCTCCCCCCACCCCATGTACAGACATTTCCATAGTGTATGTATGTCACATTGCTTTCCCCCCCCACACACCTTTGCCTGTCTTGTCTTTTTAGGGTATGTCTACACTGCAATAAAAGACCTGCAGTACTGCCGTGGCTAGCCTGGGTCAGTTGATTTGGGCTCATGGGGCTCATGCTGCAGGGCTATAAAATTGCAGGGGGGTGGGTCTCAGAGTCCAGCCAGAGCCTGAATGTCAACATTGCTATTTTTAGCCCTGCAGCCCGAGTCAGTGCTTTTGCCATCTTGAAGCCACTGCCACCAGTTGCACTACCTGTATACAGAAATACAAAGATTTATTTGAACACTGCAAGTACCCCTCAGCATGCACAGGCAGGACTTAACTTCCTCCCAGTTTCCCACTTTCTCTCTCCATCTTCCCACCGCCCAACCAAGACAACATAAAACAAGACAGTTTAGCATTAAGATAAAGATAGACAGCACCTCTACCAACAGGTAGTGCCATCTACACTGATCATCATAATATGATACCAGAAGAGAATACTTAATAAGGATATAATTTCTCTAAGAGTAAAGTAATTTTATGAGTATAACAAGAATTGATCTAGCTAGAGACATTACTGCAAACTTTTCAATGCTTTTTGAATTATCTGTACTGGAAAAAAAAATTTACACTGAAGTATACGTGTCTGCAAATACAATTGACATGTCTCTGTAACAATACAAAGCCCATTCTCCTTTTGCTATTTCTTGTACTGTCAAGGGCAAAATTGCTGAAAAAACGCTGATTCCTGACTTTGGCCTGGTCCCCACTAAGCCCCCACTTTGGACTAAGGTACGCAAATTCGAAGTACCTTAGTCCGAACTTACCGCGGGTCCAGACGCGGCAGGGAGGCTCCCCCGTCGATGCCGCGTACTCCTCTCGTCGAGCTGGAGTACCGGTGTCGACGGCGAGCACTTCCGGGATCGATCTCAGAACATCGATTGCCTGCCGCCGGACCCTCCGGTAAGTGTAGACGTACCCTCAGACAAGTAGTCAGACTAATACGGACTACAGCAGGAGTTAAAATGAGGTACATACGGTAGCCAGCAAAGTATGGTTTCATCTCAGCATGAAGTTACAGATGCAAGAAACCAGATTCAGTTGCATTTTCACTGGAATACTGTTGTCCTAAATTTTAAGCTACTTTTTGTTCACCTCTTCACACTCTACAAGCATTGCCTGCCCATCAATTCATTACTTTAGTGTTTTAGGTGTGTGGTGAGCAAGTCATGTAATCATTCACAGTCAGCAGCAACGAGAAAGCTGAACTGAACCCCGAGTGAATCCCTTCCTCTCTGGGCAACAACTCAGGAGTAATAACAGTGCTTTCCCCTACATAAAACTACAGCACCCCCTATGCATACATCACACTCCTCTCCTCTTTGGCAACATGATCATCCAACCGTCGTGGTGCTCTCATCTGCACTGCAGTCTCTCTAGGACACGCCACAGAGCAGGTGTCTTTCATGATTGTGATCCAATGGGAACCCCCAGCAAGACAGGAGCACTGTCCCCTTCAAGTAGCAACTTCGACACGCTTGGAGTGTCAGACTGCAGGCGGTACCAATAAGGAGAGAATTGATAGTTGGCTCTAGAGGAGGCACACCCGAAGACTCCTCTGGAGCAATATTGCTTGGAGATGAGTGTCTTCTCAGTTGTTGATGTAATGACGGCAAACTTGTCCATTGGCAGTCTGGACTTTATATGAGACGGGACCAGAGGATGATTGTTGAAGGAACCCACCTTGGTCTAGCACCATAACTTCTACTGAATACACTCTTGTGGTGTGAAGGAAAGCAGAGTAGATAATCACATGGGGGAATCCAGAACCTGATCCTGGTGTGTTGCAATTCCTTAGACAGGTTGGGATTATGGTCGAGGCATATTTTAAGACATCATCCCAAGAGTAACTTGGCTAACTCCTGTAATCAGGAATGGGGTGAGATTTGAAGCAATGAGAAACCTTGCAAGACTTGTCAGCTAGTCACCTTTGATGATCTTCGTTACGGCATCTTTGGTTTTCTGCAGCACCCATTTGACCTGACCATTTGCTTGGTGCAACGGTGACAGCTTTAATGAGATTGCTTTTGGAAAAGTCCTTGACCTCATCAGAGGTAAAAGCATTTCTCTTATTGGACACAATAGTATCTGGTAACACAAGTTAGGAATAGTTGACAAGGAGCAGTGATCGTTGTACTACACGTTTGTGATGAGATTAAGATCACTTTGAGCCATTTCAAGGAAGAGTCAACTATGATCAGAAAAGTTCTTTCCCTAAAAAGGACCCCGCAAAGTCAATATGGATTCTTGACCATGGTTTCTTAGTCACTTTCCAGGAAAAAAATGAGGCTTTTGGTGGGTTATTTCGAGTAGGTTGGTATGTGCTACAGTCAGGCCTTGTTACACTACAAAATAAGTTGACTTAAGTTAGGTGGACATACAGCCACCGCAGTAATTACCACAGTGGTTCATGTCCAAAGAACGCCCTTTCTATCCATGGTTTGCGTCCTCCTCAGAAATGCTTCCACCAACTTAACTCTGTGGGGCATTCTGCAGCAAACAGCTGGAGTCCTGCTTCACCCTGGGGTCCCGCATGGGGCTGACAGCTATGGGCCCCAGCTGTCAGCCCCAGAGCAGGGGGGCTCCACACAGGGCTGACAGCCAACAGGTGATGTAAGTAATGCAATGTCAACACAGACTCTGCACCACCCTAACTACATTGACCTAAGCACTTCTCCTCTCGCAGAGTTAAAGTTATTAGGTCAGTGTAGTGGACAACCTACATCGGCGGGAGCAATGTTGTAGTGTACGTACTTACATATTTAAGTCAATGTAAGCTGCCTTACGTCAACTTAACTCTGTAGCGTAGACCAAGTCTCATTTACAATTATTTCTAGGTCAGCATCGATACCTGGCCACCAGACATAACTTCTGGCTAATGCTTTCATGTGCACAATTCCTTGATGTGCTGCATGTAAGATATCTAAGGTGACTCAGCGACTTCTTTCTGGAATAAAAACACAATGTCCCCGAAAGAGCCAACCTTTATGGGCATAAAGCCCATGTTGACAGTTTAAAAATGGTTTGAACTCTATGGGCAGTTTCCCAGCTGGCCACCTAGCCTCTCTACTCCCAATTAGGTCAGCCAGGGAGGGATTCCAAAACTTCAGCTGGAGGTGGAATGGCACAATCCAGCATCTGTAGCAGCATTCGTCTCAGTACGTGAGTGTTAGCGATTTACTTTTCTGGCTTGTAGACAAGCATGTAGTCGGAAGCACTTAATACGACCCTCCACCGTTGCTTTCACAATGACATGACTGAAGGTGTTAACTTGTTATTGGAGACAATTCCTAGAAGTGGCTTGTGTTCAGTACGACTCTCAACCGCACAACTATAGATGTAATTGTGGAATTCCTTGACTGCAGCAATGATAGCAAGCACTTCTTGACAAGTTTGTGCATATTTTCTCTTGGCGGACCAGAAGGTTCTGAAATAGTAGGCGATAAGTGCCTCAGTTCCATCTGGCAAGGGATGGCCAATAACAGCTCCGATGTTATAAGGCGATGCATCACAGATAACAATCAACAGCCTTTGTTAGTCATAGTGGACGAGAACAGAGTCGGACGTCAATAACTTCTTGATGTTCTTGAAGGCTTCTGCATGCGGACAAGTCCATTTCTATGGAACTGCCTTGTCAAGAATGTAATTATGATGTTCAGCAACCGTTGCCTTTTTTGGAAGAAAACTGGTAGAAATTGAGCAACCCCACAAATGCTTGAAGTTCCTTCTGGAATTTGGCTTGGGGCATCATGGATTGCCCATACTTTGTTTTCTGTCAGGTGGATACAAGATGCATTGATGGGATAATCCAAGAAGGTGAAGCTTGTAACTCCAATTTCACATTTTCCCTTCTTGATTCGAATGCCTGATTTCTCGAATCGACACAAGACTTCTCAAAATTGCTCAGCAAGTTCATCCTCTGTTGATCTCGTAGCAGGACTTCCATATGGTACAGCATCTGGAATTCTGGAAAGCAGAGTTTCCATGAAGTGTTGGAAAATTCTCGGTGCAACAGAAATGCCAAACTGGAGACACTTGACTCAAAATGCTCCTCAATGAGTAATAGTCGTCTGCACATCAGCAGCATCTTTGTCAACAATCAGCTGGTGATATGCTTGGGTAAGGTTGAGTTTTCCAAAGACTTTTCCTCCAGCCAGAACACTGAGCAGTTGGTTAACAAAGCACTGGGTAAAGGTGCTGTTTGAGTGCCTTGTTTGAAAGTGCACTTATCTCCACAGATTCGCATGTCACCATTCCGCTCGACTACATGTACAGTCACGTAACCCATTTTGTAAGTGTAACTAGCTCAAGTATTCCCTGTAGATCTAGCTCAGCATCAATCTTCAGACATAGGGGAAAAGGTACATTCCGAACCTTCATGTTGATCAGCACAACTGCTGAATCCAAGTGGAGCAACACTTGTGGTCCTTGTAAACTCCCAATTCTTCCATTAACAATTGAGGGAATTTGTTGACTATCTGTTTTAGTTGTTCTTCGTTGATGGTATGGATGCTGATTCTCAATAGTGTGAGCCAGTTCCTGCATAAGAGGCTTTCACACTGACATTTTGGGGGCGATGAGAGGCAATCTTGCATAGAAAAGTTGTAGCAAACATTTACTTTACAGCTTCC